GAAGGCCCCAGTTGTCCGGGACCGGGCCCCGCTGCAGTCCATCCAGGTTTCTCGCGTTAATGAGCTCGTGGCGCTCGACATTTTGGGGCCATTCCCTGCATCCCAACGGGGCCACAAATACCTCTTGGTGGGCGTTGAGTACCTCACACGTTGGCCCATGGCATGGCCTTTGGTCGATCAGTCAGCCTCTTCTATCACCGAGGCCTTCGTCCAGGGGTACGTGTTTGACAAGGGCGCGCCGGAACAATTGTTGACTGACCAGGGGCGGAATTTCTCGTCTAGGTTGCTCAAGGAGGTGTGTGACCTCCTTGGCACCAAGAAAATCCGCACCTCGCCCTACCACCCCCAGTCAGACGGGATGGTAGAGCGCTTGAACCGCACCCTTACGTCCATGCTGTGCCACCAGGTGAACACGTCCCAGTCAGACTGGGACCTGTTCGTCCCGGGGGTCTTGGCGGCGTATCGGTTGGCCCCTCATGCCTCCACGGGATTTTCGCCTTTTTATTTGATGTACGGTAGGGAACCGGAGCCCCCGGTGCACGTCCAGATGGACGTTGGCTCCTCCAAGAAGGGGTCGGCGGTGCCGACCCCTTTGAAGGTCGCGCTTGACCGGCTGCGCGAGGCGCGACAGGCCGCTGCCGAGAATTCCGCAAGCCGGCAGGCGGCTAATGAGCGGCTGCCCAAACACCAGGCAGCTGGCCTCCCGTGGGTAGCGGGTCAAAAAGCGTGGCTGCATTGTCCCCAGGTCCCCGTTGGCACATCGGCCAAATTGCATCGCCCTTGGCAGGGACCCGTGGAGGTTGTGGAGGTCCGCCGGCCGCAATGCGTCCGGATTCGATTCGGTCGCAGGCAGTGGATAGTGCACCCGTCCCGGCTCAAACGTTATGTTCCATCTACCCTGGGGGATCCACCCCCAATTCCGGAGCGGCCGGCTGATGATGTATCCGGCGTGCCTGACCGGCCGGGTCTCGTTGACGGAGGTGACGTCCGACCTGTGTGTGTGCCCCCAGGCCCCTCCCGAGTGAGGCCGACAGAGACCCCCCGGTCACCGGAGGCCACTGCGGTGGGCCTGTTGCCCGCTGACGGGCCACCTGCACGGGTGGCGGACACCGCACGGGGGAGCGGGCCAGCAGCGCATACCCGCTCGAGGGGGATGCGGCTCCGGTGACGGCCCTGATGGCCGTTCAGCGGGCCCAGCCCCTGGCGCCCGTTCGGCGCTATCCGGCGGATGAGGCCTTCGGGCTCTATTTGTTTTTTTTTTGTGGTTGTTGTTACTGTTCTGCTTGAAGGGCCGTGCTGCCCTAAGGTTGAGTTTTCTAGCAGCCGGGTTTACCTTCAGGCACACGAACTCGTGATTATTCGGTCTTCGGTCCGGTGTGGGGCCCCGCTTGCGGGTTGATTGCAGCCGGGTCGGCTGTTTTTTTTCACGGGGGGTGGTGATGTAGAGGAGTAGAGGAGAGTGGTGGCGTCGTGTGCGCTGTCCGGTGCAGTGACCTCACGAGACGTGGGGTCGCACGCGCTGGGCAGTGCACGTGACGTCACCCCTCCTAGGGTATTTAAGGGAGACCCCGTAACGTAAGTGGGGTCACTGGAGGAACGGGGATAGTGGAAGGGGTAAAGAGGGAACCAGGGATAGTGATAAGTGTTAATAAACCCTGGCGGAAGCCCCTAACTCAACCTCCGTCTCCGAGTACCTCTGTCTACTACTCAACATAGGTAAGAAAGGGGGGAGGCAAGGGAGGAGAGAGAGAGGGGGGTGTGGGGTAGGGGGGTCTGCTTGAACATTAGGGGAAGAGGACGTGAGGCTGGGGGGGAAGTGGGCGGGGCTAGAAGTGGGAAGCTGAGTGTGGGACACGGGGACAAAAAAATCTATTAGTAAACGGCAGGTAGGATGGAAACAACCACAACCAGTTAAGGCATTACCTGGTTAATAACATCCTTCCAATGATTGTCCAATTTGTATCCATCTTCTCGGTTGAAGTTATGTCTGTTTATATATCTGGATGGCTTCATGAACGGACCTTTGATAGTTGCTCGAAGATTTGCAGAGTACCTTGGTCTCGGAAAAAAACTATATTATGCAAGCCCACGCCGTTATAACAATGGTCAGCTACGGCAGAGGTATTGGTTCTGCTGTGTTTCAGATCTGCCTTGTGTTCGCGAACACGGTCCGAGACATGTCGTTTCGTTTCTCCAATGTAACTGCTACCGCAGGTACAACTCAGTTTGTTGACTCCAGGGTATTGCATGTCAGGAATTACCTCCTTCACAGATGGGATTAGATCACGTATTTTGTGTATTATATTGAATAGGACCTGGATCTTGTGTTTGTTTAATATTTTGGAAATATTTTTTGGTAACACCTGTTATGTATGGTAAAGTGATGGTTTTGATTGGCTTCTCAGGAGATTGTTTCTCCATGGTTGTAGAATCAGCTTTGCGAATAATGCGGTCCGAGTACCCATTCATCTTGAGGGCTTGGTGTACGTGTTCCAGTTCACTGGCTAGGTGGTGTTAGTCGGAGATGCAGTAGGCCCTATGGTGTAGTGTTTTGATGAGGGAATTCTTCTGGGCTGGATGGTGGTGGGAATCAGATTTCAGATAGGAATCTGTGTGGGTGGCTTTCTTATGGACAGTGTCCCAACGAACCGTCAGGCCTCTTCTCAAGCAAAACATCCAGGAATGGTAGCTTACCATCCTTCTCCACTTCCATGGTGAGTTTGATGGATAGAATTGATGTGATTGAGAAATTGGTTCTTACCTATATGATCTCTTGCCACAGCAGCTCTCTCGCCTACTTCAGCATTTTCTTGCTGTGGTTGTTCCACCTGATGAAGATTGCTTGTGTTGCGATAAAAACGTCGTGATTTGTTTTACTTGATTTTTACCTACATTACTTTACCGAAGGAACCAAAGAGTATGGATTCCTGCAGTTACGAAAGATTCAAATCGAGATTACTTTGAGCCTATCTACGTGACTTTACCGAAAGACCCAAAGAATGTCTTATCCATTGATTTTATAGTTCACGAGTAGGTTATCTTCGGCGTGGGTTTCCTGGAGTGCTACAACATCAATGTGTTCTTGATGTAAACACTTGGCGAGCACCTCACTCTTTGCTCATGAGAGGCCTTCCACGTTTAGTTGGTACACTTGAAATGCAGGTCCCACTCTTCTTTGGCTGATCATTTGGCCTTTAAAAGGACCGCTTTTTGCATGCGATTTGCACATATTTCAAATCGAAAATACACGATTTCCAAAAAGGCCGATTTATGGTATTTGTCGTGAGATGAGGCACTTAACAGGTGGGTCGTAAGAAGGCTACCATCTTCCACCCTGATGATGCTGGTTGTGAACAGCTGATGATGCTGGGTGGTAACCCCTGATGATGCTGGTTGTAATTTCCAGTTAAACGTCGTGCAAAATTGTCACTTTTTTTGCTTGCTTTTCAACGTTCTTCCTCTGGTTTCCATTTGGATATCTCATGGGGCAGCGCGACCCTCGTGTGTTAGAGAATGGCCCACAGAAGCTGATATATCTCAGAGGGTGCCGCGGTGGCAAGATGTTAATGACCTCGCCTGGTTTTCAGAATTCGTGGGTTTGATTTCGCCCTCGACGGCTGTATATTTGGAGTGTGCATGTCTCCCTCTCCTCGTGGTTGCCTGGATTTTTTTCTAGATCCCTCTGGTTTTTCCCTCCACATTTAGAAACATGCGTTGAGAGTATTTGGCTGCTATGATAAAGAGCTATATTGCTCAGTGAGCCTTACCTGGTACAATTTAAAATAATAGAGCTATTTCAGAGCTGTCTCCTAGATGATAATTGCTGGTGAACTCTGGTCCACGCACGGTAGGGGGCAGCACTTTCTGCACCCTCACTGCTACAGAGAAGGACGTTCAGTTTCTTAAATCCCCTCTCCCCGCTTCCGTCCACCCAACAGTAAGAAAGGGGTCAAGTCGAACAGCAGGTCACGTGCGGTGGGGTAAAGTGTGCGCGCTCCCACCTCTGTCCAGTGTGGAAGAGGAGGCCAAATACCGTCGAGAAGAAGGTGGGGGGAGGGGGGCGAACTCTCAATTGCTCTTCTCTCGTGTAGGCCCTTTCAATAGGAATGGCCTAAGCGAGGCATTGCAGAGCTGTACCTTGGCCTCGTTACATGACAAAAGAAGTATGAAGTACTGTCTTCCCCAATTACTTCACACTCCCCACTTCGATTTAAAGCTTTCGTGACTGCAGGGATTCACTTGTTGTTATTGTCAGGTCTGGGGTTCGTGGCAGCAACATCAGATTATAACCTCTCCCCATCTTTCGTCTGCTGAATTCAGTATTCAAATACTTGCCGAATTGCGTGGGCAACGTGCGCCGGAGACCCACCTCGCTGCAGGTTTCAAGCTGCAAACGGGCTTTGTGGCTACCCTGCGGACCACTTGACAATTTTATTTGTTTGGCTTTGGTCGGGTGGTGGAGGTGTTACATGACAACAAAAAATATGCCCAATCATTGTGGCGATTATCTGCCTTCTGGCGGTCCTGGGCCGATCCAGCAAAACTGGCAAAATCGCTGCAAAGACTGTATCCATTCCAGCTATTGGTACCACGTGTAGCGTGGCAAACCAAGTAGCTATGCTTTATTTAAGTGTTAAATATTAAATACAGTACATTATACACTTACATACGACAACTTAAACAATGAAAATACTGCACATGTACTGTATACAGTACATCACCCCATGCAGAGTCTTCCAATTATTTGCATCTATTTGTATGTTTATTTATGCCAATTTTATATAGTAAACACATTTAAAACACTCAAAACATAAAACAACACCGAAAAACATGCCATACAAGAATGTGCAAAAATAAGCTATTTCCAATAATAACGATTAGTGATAATTATCCGGCGTTTTGAAAATCTGGCGCCCCACCCCCGAAGCCACCGGATAATCTATTGTGTCTTTACAAACGCCCCCTTTTTGCTTCGTCTCTATCTTTTTCCTCTCCTCCAGAAAGTTGTGCGTGACAAGGAGATGGAATGCCTGCAGCTGAAGCTGCAGCGTTTGGAGCGACTGTGCCGGGCCCTGCAGAGTGAGCGCGGCGACCTGGCATCCTGCGTCAAACAACTAACGAGCCAGATCAATGGCAACGCTCCCAGCGGCGAAGCAGTCGCGAGCTGCGACCTCCCCGCAGACAATGCGCCGGCGTGCAGCTCGCCGAGTCAGCTTGGCAGCGAGGCGGACGAGCTCGCTGGTTTGGTATCGGGCGACCTCGTCGGTATGGCTATGGGGGTTTGTGTTCTCACGGACTCTGCATCCTGTGCGCTTGACCAGTTCTCCTGGGAGCTCACCGATTCAAAATTTTCGGTTCGTGATGCCACCAGCTCATCGGCTGGCGAGGCAATGCCGAGCCCCGTACACGGTGCCAGCAGTCCGTGCTCCCCCCCCGGCGAGATCGGCGAGAAGTGCCCAGACATGTCCGGTGACGGGAGTCAGCCGCTCGTGGGTTTAGCACAGCTACCGGCACTGTGTCCTGCTCCGGTATTGCGGAGAGGTGGCGATGGTTTAAGTGATATTGCTGCAGGGCAAATATTGACCTCTCTGCACGCCACTAATACTGACACCGTGGAGAAGTGCGTTGATCCGAAAGTTGGCAGGGTTGAGTCAGACACCACCAGCGCTAACCCAGACGAGGAAGCGGGTAAGGTGGAACGAGACGTCGGTGGTAACCCGAACACAGAATCCGGCGAAGACGATTCTCGTGCAGGTAACGTTGCACTTGGTGTCAGTGAAGCAGAAGGTAAGCTGTCAGAGAAGCAGCCAGAGCCCGAGGTGCATGCAGTAGTGCGCAACAGCGCTTTCGATAGCCTGCAGGCATCGTGCCAGAAGCTGGAAGAGTCTTTTTCCCTCATTAACGCCATGTGCCAGCAGTCGCAGGGCTTTCTGAATTCTCGCAAGCAGACGGCTGGTGCGGCACTGGAGGAGGTAGCGAACGGCTCTTTAACCGGGACGCCATTGCTACTTGGTGTCGAAAAGGAAAGGTTGGAGGCGTCTCCCAAAGAAGGCAACCTCATCCTTTTCTCCGACCAGCAGGGCACAGTCGAACTAAGCAGCAGCAGCAGCAGCACTGTGGAGTCACCATCAGACCAGGACGTGAGCTCATCAGCATCACGTTAGAGGATAATCTATCTCGGTCTTACAGACAACTTGCTCCATCGCTCACACAACAGAGTAGGTCACCAAATTTGTTACATGGTACACCAAGCTGGGACCGTTCATCGGTAAGCCTAGGTCTGTTATCAAAATAACACAGCGGACTGCACTATCGTTCCAACACGGCGACATCGGTACCAGATCTCGGTTACAAATCGATTTTTGACACCCGAACAAAGATGTCAATTCCCGGACTCTCTGGGTCAGACTCAAGTAAGCTGGTCCTGCCACCCAAGTAACTTCTCTGACGAGGCTCTGGTCGGGGTTACCACCAAGAACCAGCTTCTTGGGTCACCATGGCTACTAGGGTTGCATGGCGGCGATACTACGATGATACGAGGTGCACAGTGATTATATTGCTTTGCAAAAGATCGTCATATCACGCATTTCATTTTTCCAATTTTTTATCACGATAATAAAATATTTATCAAATAGCAAGAAACAAAGTTCACAACTATAATAATAAATTTAAAGAAGTTGTTCATCATTAATTCAGCACTTTGTAAAACGTTGTTCGGGTTGATGGGCACGGGGGGGGGGGTTATATGATGTCATCATGTTCCAACAGCGCGTGGTGTGACAAGTGCGACAGACTGTGAAGTCACAATGATTCTACGACTCATGGCAGCCTCAATATTGAGTGAACTGCAGTTAAAGAACTTGTGTGTGGTGATCTTTATTTCTTACGTGAAGAAAAGCAAAGTAACGACGTGATGTGAAAATGTATTACAAAGTTGAGGGAAAACCACGATAAATCGTCACAGCATGATATGAGAATCGTACATTTTTAAGGATATTTAAGGCCGTGTCGTATTGCATTGTGAGAGGTTATATAGTGACAACCCTAATGGATAAGCCAGGTGAGGGCTCAAGAGAGGAGGATAGGCGTCTAATTTGTAAGAGTGACCTGGATCACCAAATTAACAAAAAGCACAGCAGCGAACATCAATAAAGCAAAGAGAAATCACGATAAACAACCAAACAGAAATCAGAGCAGAGACAACCAGATAGAGATCAGAGCAGACAGCCAGATAGAGATCGGCTCAAATGCAACCGCACCACACAAGAAAAACAGTGCACAAACGTAGAGACGCTTAAAATGAAATATGTTCTCTTACAAAAGGACATTTACAATTACTGTTATGGTAAAAGTGAGTTACAAAAACATCACAATTGATTTTGCGTGATTATTGCACTACTGTCGTATGTAAACATACGAGGATTGTGCCTGGCTGCCTTTGTCTCTGCACTAAGCCAGCTTTAGAATAGTCCTTAGGTCTTTCGGCATCTCTGGAAATTACACGCCGAGTACAGACGTTGAAAGTACTAGCAGGGTGCACATTCAGCGATGGTTTTATTCACAAACCACTGGTTAACACTGCGACAATACGCAGGCGTGAAGACTTCTGTGCAGCCCCTGCTTTTCCAAGTTATAATAAACTCGAGAGAGAACCCCAGTGGTGACCCTGTATATTCCTCGCTCCGTCGGTACCGACATCCCTACTAAACCTCCTGGCCCCGCGCTCATCTCTCCAGCCTTTCACGGGTGTCCCACTGAGTAATCCTGGCTCCTGTTGAGTACTTCCTTAGCCTTGCCCGCTCCTGAAGAGTCTTCATTTGTGTGTGTTTAATTTGTTGTTCCTTTTCCGCACCTCCGATTAGCACGGTTGGCTACGTACGGTGAGAAAAAAAGTTCAACCAAACATACGTACATACATTCCCAGTCAGTTACTTTCCACTCTGAGAGGTTATATTGCGACAACCCTAATGGATAAGCCAGGTGAGGACTCAAGAGAGGAGGATAGGAGTCCCTCTTAGATCCAAAATCCCTCTTCATCCACCAAAGTGCACAAATATCAGAGGCGGGCATCCCAGACTCCTGGTACCTCGCTGTTTCCCGATTGGGTCTCCTAGGATCCCAACTCTCCCAATGACTGTCTTTCCTCCCGCACCACTCTAGCATTATGACTCGGATTGGCCCAGAATTTGCATCCTTGGTATTGAATAGCTAAAGCAGACAGACATCTCACTCGAATTCAGTTCTTAGGCTTTTTCAATGGAACTTTTTAGTTGAGATACATACGAAGTTAAAGTTTACAGCTAAATAATAATACAGTCGGGCCATTTACAAATAGGTTATTGGGGGAAAATACCAAGCTGATTTAAACGTAACTTTAAGTTAAAATTTACTTTGAGTAATGAGGTGGAAACTCAAGAAACCAGGATCTTAATCTCCCGTGGAAGAGCTGGGCCATTAGTTTTCCAGTAGGAGGCGATGATTTCCATTGAATAGCTACTCACACGCGCGCCACAGCACTCCCGCATCTGGCGCACGGCAGTCCGCTACCCTCTCACCCTTCACCTGTAACCATCAGCACAGGCAGCGGTACCTTCTCACTCCTGAGCACCAGCATGGCACGCCAAACATCCGCAGCATCGACATCAGTCGCCTAATCATCTCCAGCGCTCGTCCGCCTCGACGGACCTGCGGCCTTCATCACCGTTAACCACCTGTGGTGCCACAGCAACGGAGCAATTCCGCCGGCGCCGCCATCCCCTCGCACCCCTCCACACGAACGCACGCACACCCCCACTAAACACACGCACCCACATAGGGTCTCGTGGGGGGGGGGGGGGGGGTCACCTGGTACCATGGGTTTTTACCCGAGGGGCCCCTAGTGGGGACGTCCCACGGTTTCCCAGTGCCAGAAGATTGGCCGACCTCCCCAGGCCAAATTACATTGCGGCCCTCGTTAATTGGCTTAAAATTGTATGGGCGCGACAAAGCTCACCGGGCTAACCACAATGAGACACTCACAGCACAGGGAGATAGGGCCTCGAGTTTGTTTGTAGAAAGTTCCATTACAAACTGAGGGCACCCCAATGGGCTCCCCCCTATCTCCGGTTGTAGCCAACGTTTTCATGGAGAAATTTGAGACTGACGCCATCCAGACTGCCACTCTACGCCCGACCTTATGGAAGAGGTACGTAGATGACACTTTTGTCATCTGGCCACACGGCCGGCCTGCTCTAGACCAATTCCTCGACCACATCAATTCCATACACCCAGCCATCAGATTCACCATAGAAGTCGAGAAAGATGGCAAGCTACCCTTTTTGGATGTCCTAATTAAAAGGAGACCTGATGGTTCAATGAGCCAAGCTATCTACAGAAAAGCCACCCATATGGATGCTTACCTAAAACCGGATTCCCACCACCATCCATCCCAGAAGAAATTCCCTTATCAAGACTCTATACGATAGAGCCCAATACATCTCCGACCAGGAACACATTGCCAGTGAGCTAAAACACGTACGCCAAGCTCTTAAGGCTAATGGTTACTCCGACTACACAATCCGCAAAGCCATCACTTCAACCATCAAGAAGGATCCTGTTGAGGAGCCTTTCAAAACCATCACCTTACCCTACATTGCTGGGGTCACAAAAAAGATCTTCAAAATCCTGGTAAAACACAAGATCCAGGTCCGATTCAACACAGTACATAAAATCCGTGATCTGGTCCCGTCTGTAAAAGATGTGGTTCCAGACATACAGTACCCTGGCGTCTACAAACTAAGTTGCCTCTGTGATAGCAGTTACATTTTAGAAACCAAACGACATGTCTCGGACCGCATCCGTTAACATAAAGCAGACTTGAAACACGGTAGGACAAACACCTCAGCCGTGGCAGATCACTGTTACAATTCAGTGGGCTCCCATGATATTGACTTCTCCAAGACAGAGGTTCTCTGCAAGCCATCCGGCTACCATGAGAGATTCGTTCATGAGGCGATCCACATATACAAACACAGAGACAATTTTAACCGAGAAGATGGATTCTGGCTCAGCAATCATTGGAAGGACGTAATAAACCATTTCGGATCTTAACTGATTGTGTTCACGTTTACGGTGACTTTCAGACCGCAGTCCACTCACTGGCATTGACTATATATCTTGTATTCTCCGCAGGGAATGGATTCTTTGCTCTGCTGCAAGCTTCCTACCACCACTCTCCCATTGACATATTTCGTTGCTTCCTCTTAGTACCTTTCACGCGACGGTCAATGGTATAGTGTATAGTATATTGTATAATAATAAATAGTATAAAAGTGTAATGTTTAATACAATATATAAGGTAATATATAGTATCGTAATTGTACAGTGAATATACAGCAGTGTGGTATACAGTTAGGTGGGTAGAATAATACATAGTGTAATATTACAATGTATAGTCTATAAGCATATTAGTTGCTGCGGCTCCATATTATTAACATTCCTTCCCTTTATTAATTCTAACCTTATTCCCTCCCTTTGATGCTGCTAATCCTGCATAATGCATGGGCATAATGACTTTAAACCCCTCGCCAAACCTCCTACGCATTTCACAAGTAGTACTAATCGCATATCTACATTTCCCATAAATATGCTAAATTCCTCTTTATATGCTAATTATTTTGTCAAGACGCTCTTCTCCCCTCCATCCCAGCTTAAATAGTCGCTCCAAGCCTGGGGCGTGCCATTCAGACTCTGACTTCTCGACAGACCTGTTCTCCACCTGAGGACGGCTGCTTGCGTTGTGGCCGAAACGTCCTGAGAATTATTTTATAATGTTTTTATTTTATTATTTTATTATTTCCATTCTACGTGACTTTACCGAAGTAACCAAGAAGATGGTTTATTAATGGCGCGTCTAAAGAAAACCCTGTGCGGCCCGGAATAAATATTCTACGAGCAGTGCCTAGCCTATCCCTATTCAATCCCTGGGTGTACCCCCACTCTACTTCTCACCTCGCAGACGCACTCACGGTGTCCCACAGACGCTGTGGGAGTCGAAGGGACGAGGATCCGAGAGGTCTCTGCCTGGGGTCGAGTCGTAGCAGCACTCGCTTGCATCTCTCGGACGCTGCGAGCGGCTGGGAGTTGGACCGGGCAGAATCCAATGATCCACGGTCACGTGGTGTTATCCTGCGCGGCCAACCTGGCGCCTACCTTTCAATTTTAAACCGATGCCTCACCCCTACCTGGAGCGTTGCTTCCCATTACGCCTCGATCCATTGTCTACGCCCCCGTCCTCCCCGGACTCAACCGGTTTGATCGGGGTGGCCGTCTCGCGGAATACACATCTGCAGTGGGTCCAGGAATTTCCCTCCCACCTCCTCTTATACGCAGCACGTTTACGCAGTAAAAATAGCCTTAACGGCGAGACGTGCACCCTGGGTCCTGCCGCAGGTCATCTCCTTCTTTTCGTGTAGCATCAGTAGTGATACACCGCGCATTAAGGCTTATCCACCGGAAGATAGGGGTGCATATTCATACAACCCTGTACCAGCCGTCCCCTTCCCGCTAGCATTAACATCTGTTTGCACAGCGGATTAAGGCTGATCTACCGGAGGGTAGGGGTGCATATTCATATGGCTATTTTTAGCGCTAGCCGTGGTGGGCAACGTGCGCCTGCACGGGCACGCGCGTGCACGCAGCCACCTCCGCATTAGCGGTGGTGTACGTGGGGGGGGGGGTGTGAGATTACTCCGGGTGGTGGTGAGCCAGCCACTTAGCCATGTCCCTCAGACAGGGCGCTGGTACGGGGGGGGGGCGATCACTCGATCGGTGGGGGCCCGGCGAGAAGTGGCCGAGGAGGAGGAGGGGGTGGACGTCGCACCCCGCCCGCTCACGGGGAGCGGGGAGGTGGGCGTTAGCCCCCACACCTACTCATCGTTGGCCTCCTGGAATCTAACTTCGGTATCAGTGGCCATTGGCAGTACTCTCGACTCCACCTTATCCTTCCGACAGCTACACTGACCCCACATCTGTCCTTCCTTTGTAACTCCCACCTCAGGGGCTCTCAATTGTTCAAGTCCGACCATCGCCTGCGAGATCGCCAACACCCTCGCCTGCATGGCCAGATCTCGTGCTGCTCCTTTCCTTTTTGCTCATTGCGCAATCAAGCAGTGCCTGCGCGTCACCAGTCTCTCTCTTTGCTACACAATGTCCACAACCACCCAATGACCCTGGCAGTTGGACTGCTCTGCCCCTGCCAATGCCTGTGGCCGGCCATCGGCACATCTCCCCTGCTTGCAGGTTGCCTTTTCGGCATTGCTCCCAGTGTCATCTCACGGAGTTATTCCTTGGCCATGCTCGGTTAAACATCACGCACCTGTCACAGTGACCATACCACTGGAACTCGCGCGTCCAAACAAAATCCACCTCGTAGAATTTGTGTCGAGGTGTGGCGTGCACATTAACTGTCATTCCGGGTCAGATAAGGTTCTTGTAGGCCTTCAGTGATAATTTTCTACAGTTGGCACTACTGCCCACGTTACTGCCGCTGCTGTCACTCGCTTGTTTTGCACGCAGTACAGATAATACGTTCATTATTTAGCCTGTGCCCTAATTCGATGGAGGGGCGCTTTGTACCGCAGATAAGTAGATTTTATTGAAATTAATTCAGAAAA